CCATTCTCCTCGTCCCACTCCAGAAGCAACTGATAGTATAGTTAAAGCATATCTTATAGTACTTGCTTTAATATGTGTGTAAATAAATATATGGTCTGCTCCTGATTTATGTAAAGTTATACTGTACTTGCTGTCTTTTATTCAAATTTATGAACAAAATATGTGAATCTACTTCATTGATTTTAACACCTATTTTACTGTGAATGTGCCATAATTTATCATTAGTATATGCTGTTGCAAAACATACTGCATTAACTGTTTTCATCTATGTCTTGTTTTATATAAGCGAAATGAGTTTTTTATGCTTTATACCTAGAAATTAAATAGTTGGACTATTCATATGCCTTTTCAACTTTTTTAGATATTGCCATAATATTAATCAATTGCTTACATCAGCTGTTTGAAAACTATTGTTTTTCATGTCATTATTAATCTCTGATATTGTCAGTCTTTTATTTTGCTGGTGTGATAGAATTAATTTTTTATTTTCAGATTTCCAGACTACTAATGTTATTGAGCTCTTTTGGAAATGTTTGTGGCCATTCATCTTTTATCTTCTATAAATTGCCTGCCCTATCATTTAATGTTTTTTTATTGATTTATACTGTTGCTCTCTCTCCTAACAGCACTCTGTTTTACTGATGGATTTGATAATTAATTGCATTAGCCATTCAGAATTCACAGTGCTCATGGTTGTAGGGCTTATTAAAGAAGGTAACAGGTTACAAATCAGGTAAGAAGTACTCAAGATACAGTTGTTCAGTCAGTACAGTATTTTCTCTGCCATGCCCACAGGCAGGCCTCTCCCTGGCCCTGAGCCTCTTGGCCTAGCCTCTGCCCTGCTCCAGCGATGCTACAAAGCTCCTTTGGGCTGATAACAGTTAATACCCAAAGGGCATCCCACTCTGCTGTAAGCCTCAACCTAAGGCATTCAACTCCAGCTCCATGGGTCAGCAAGTCCAGCTCCCCCAATTAAATACCACAAGACTCCCTACACCATAACTCAGCCTCCTACACAAAACATTCTGTTTTACTTGCTCTGTGACGTCTGGGAAGTCCACCACTCGGGCTCCTGGTTCTTCTGTTGCCACTCCTCTGGTGTCAAAGGTGTCTCCTAGATCAAGGAAGTTCAATATGCAGGGATCTCGGGGTCCAAAAGATATGCTCCCCTCCTGGCTCTCCTCTTTTGCCACTTAAAAGATCTCGCCTGCTGCTTCTGAGCTGGTTCCTTTATACCCGGCAGGATTCAGTCACTTTGAATCCAGTTATAAGCACACACATCTGAATCCTATCAGTATCTTCCCTCGCCTTCTGTTACCTAAACCCATCAGGAAAAGGTTGGTTGGTGGGAGTTGCAGAGACTATCACTAGAAGATCCACATTAAATGATTCATTTCACTGCATTTTTTTTAAAGATCATTTTATTGGGGCCTCTTACAATTCTACAACAATCCATACATCAGTTGTATCAAGTATATTTGTACATATATTGCCATCATTCTTTTCTAGACATTTTCTTCCTATTGAGCCCTTGGTACCAGCTCCTCTTTTTTTCCCTCCCTCACCACTCCCACCCTCATGACCCCTTGATAAATGATAAATGATTATTAATTTCTTATCTTACGCAGACCACTATCTCCCTTCCCCCCATGGTTTCTGTTGTTCATCCCCCGAGAGGGATGTGTGTGCTTGTGTTGATCATTGCCATTGGTTCCCCCTTGTTCCCCTCCCCATCTTCCCCCTGCCCTTCTGGTGTCACTATTCCCATCCCTGTTCCTGGATTCTGTGTGTCGTGAGCTCTTATCTGTGCCTGTATACTTGCTCCAGTCTAGCCCGCAGTGAAAGGCAGCACTGGGGTCATGGTGTTGGTGGTGAGGAAGCCTCAAGGAATCAGAGGAATATTGTGTGTTTCATTGATGCTTTACTGCACCCTGGTTGACTCATCCCTTCCCTGTGACCCCGCTGTGAAAGGATGTCCCACTGTCTGTAGATGGGCTTTAGGTTTCTGCTCCGACCTCCCTTGTCTGAACAATGGTTTTGTTTGTTTGTATGGGTCTTCTAATGCCTCTTACTCCGTCAACAACACCTCATGATCACACAGGCTGGAGTGACACTGCAGCTTTAAAATTTTTATTTCAATTGATCTTTCTGAATGCTTTCTGAGAAAGATAATAAGGAAGTACCTTTAATATGCAGGTGACACAATTGTGCTTGCTGAAAGTGAGGACTTGAAGTATTTGCTGATGAAGATCAAGAATTGAAGCTTTCAGTATGGGTTACAACTCAATGTAAAGAAAAACAAAATCCTCGCAACTGGACCAATAGGTAGTATCATCATAAATGGAGAAGTTGTCAAGGATTTCATCTTGTTTGGATTTACGATCAGTGCTCATGGAAGCAACAGTCAGATCAAAAGACAAGTTGCATTGGGTAAATCTGCTGTACAAATCCTCTTTATTATTAAATATCAAGGGGATGTTACTTTGAGGATTAAGGTGCACCTGACCCAAGCCACGGTATTTTCATTTGTTTCATATGCATGTTGAAAGTTGGACATTAAATAAGAAAGACCAAAGACAAATTGATGCATTTGAAGTATGGTGTTAGCAAAGAATACAGAAAGTACCGTGGACTTCCCAAAGCAAGTAACAAACCTGTCTTGGCAGAAGTACAGACAGAACGCTCCTTAGAAGCAAGGATGATGAGACTTCATCTCATGCTCTTTGGAAAGATCAGTGCCTTAAGAAATACATCAGACTTGGTAGGGTAGCAGGGCAACAAAGAAGGGGGCCTTTGATAGCACGGATGGATGCGGAAGCTGCGTTGAGCTCAAACATAAGAACCACTGTGAGGATGGTGCAGGACTGAGCAGTGTCTATTCTCTTTTCATAGGGTTGCTGTGAGTCAGAACTGACGCAATGGCACCTAACAGTATCTTGCAAGAATGCAATTTTTTAAAACTGTTTTCTTGCATAAAGATTTATTTTTACAGTTTAGTAAGTCAACTCCTTGCTATTAGATTGTGGATTATGACATCTCTAATTTTTGTTAATAGTTACCATCAAGTCACCTGCAATGCCAAGTGACCTTTGCCTACTGCTGGAAATTAGATTCTGACTCATAGTGACCCTATATAGGGTTCCCGAAACTACCTCTTTATGAGGGCAGGCAACTTTAACTTTCCCCACAAGAGTGGATAGGGGTTTGAACTGTGGACCTTGTGGTTATCAGCTCAACAGGTAACCCATTACATCCCCAGATCCACCAGGTGACACATGTAAAACAGAATTTAAAAAACATGGCAGCCCTGCACTATCTTCATGATTATTGGTGTGTCTGAGTCTACTGTTGTGGCTCTTGTGTCATCCACCTCATTGCGAATGTCTCTCATGTTTGCCAGCCCTGTACTTTACAAAACATGAGACCCTTTCCTAACAATTGCAAACATCTTTTGTGATGATGTTTGCAAGGTAAGTGAGCCAAAATTCCACTGTCTTCATGTCTAAGGGGCATCCTGGTTTTATTTCTCCTAACATTAATTGACTCATTCTTTTGTCATTCCTGGTATATTACTGGGTAGTGCAAGCAGTTTACTCACTTGGCTGCTCACTGAAAGGTTGGGAGGTTCAAGACCATCTTAGAAGCACTTTGAAAGGAAAACTTTTTTGCTGAAATATCAGCCACTGGAAAAGCCTGTAGAACACAAATCTGTACCGACACACAAGGGGTCACCGTGAGTCAAAGTCAACTTGATGTCAACGGATAACTGGTTTATTCATTAATTACTTGCCATTGTGGCACAAAGTGGGAAAGCACAAAACGAACCCACTGCCTTCAAGTCACTTCCAACTCACAGCAACCCCACAGGTCAAAGCAGAACTACCCCGCAGGGATCCTGAGACTAAATCTTTGCAGGAGCAGCCAGCCTCATTATTCTCCTAAGAAACTGTTAGTGGGTTTGAACCACTGAATTTCCCTTTAGCAGTCCAACACAACCCATTGTGCCACCAGGACTCTCCTTGAGAAGTGCAAAAGATGAAGTAAAATCAAAACCAGACATTACTTGTTAGCTTTAATCAAATATTTGGGAGGAATATGATTACAGGGGTATAGGAGATATATGAGGGAGCGTCAACAAGTTAGCTGAAAAATGTAATTTCAAAATAATAGGACTGAAACTATCAGTAGCTCTGCAGAAGAAAGGCTGGGCTTTCTACTCCGTAAACAATTGCAGTCTTGGAAACCCACAAGGGGTTGCTGTGAGTCAGCATTGACTCAGTGGCAGTGGCAGTGAGTTTGGTTCTGGTTTAAGGGACACCTATCCCAAGCTGTGGTCTTTTAAATAGCTTCGTGCACATGCAAAAGCCGGAGAGTGTAAAAGAATATTGGGTATACCTGTACAGGTGGGGGTGGGGTGAGGGTGGGGGATCAGTCTTAGAAGAAATACAATCAGAGTTTTTCTTAGAGGCAATGGTAAGACTGACTCACTGACTCTGGACGTGTCATCTGGAAAGACCAATTGCTGGAAAATGACCTGATCTTTGATCAAGTAGATCAGCAAAAACAAAAACTCCGATTCAGGTAGATTGATATAATAGCTACACAGTGGTCATAAAGATGTCTCAGGACTGGGCCGTATATCATTGTCTTCTATGTAAGATTAACAATTAAAAATAGCATATATACATATATTTATTTTGCATTCTATTTTTAACAGCCTTCCATTCTAATTTCCTATGTTGTCCCTATCTTCCTATCTTGTCTAATGATAGTGTTGTTAACATATCGTAGTGGGAATGGAACACTTCCTTTTGAGATGGTCCTTGTCAGGTGCTGAATATTCAGCCTTACTATGATGCAGTTTACCATTTCCTGTCACAAATCGCAAACATTAAAAAAGTGCTGCTTTGATTCAGGATATCACAAATATGATTTTATCTTAGAATAAATTACTTGAAGTATAAGGATCCTTTAGTAAATTTGATCTTCCTGTCTTTCAGATTAACAAATAGAAATATTATACACAAACCTACCGAATGGACCTTAATTGCTGTGGTGTTGCTGTCATTGTGAGTACTCTCTCAGATTACTCTAGGGGCTAATTATGGAGAGTTTTGACCCGGAAAGTGACTGATGTTTGTACCTCTTTTTTCTGCTTTACTTTGCTATGTGAAGGGAAC